TTAAAAAAGATTCTCGGTCGTATCACAAGGTCTTGTCAAACTTGTTTAGTCGTTGAGAAAATGGAATTGACTCGAGAAAATTCAAGAGCGATGATTTATTATGACTTTTGAAGTGTTTTAACACAAAAACAGTGTGTTGACCGGATGATTTCTGCATTTGGTAATGAAGCCCAATCCAAAACCACAATTTATCGCTGGTTTCCTGAATTTCAACGTGGACGTGTCAAGCTCAGTGATGATCCCCGTCAAGGTCGTCCAAAAACTGCAGTCACCTAAGAAAACGTTGATGCTGTGCGTAAGCTGATTGAAGAAGATCGACATGTGATATACCGCGAAATTCAGGCAACTTTAGACATTAGCATGAGTCAAATACAAATAATCTTGCATGAACAATTAGGTGTAAAAAAGTTGTTTTCCCGATGGATACCGCATTCGCTCTGTGAAGAGCTCGCGTTACTTGGTGCGTCAGAACTCTCGGGAGATTACATGCAGGATCCTCAAATGCTGTATACAACATCGTATCAGGTGACGAATCATGGATATACGCGTACGAACCCGAAACAAAAAACCAGTCACGAGTTTGGGTGTTCGAAAATGAATTAAAGCCAACAAAAATTGTTCGTTCACGGAGTGTTGCAAAAAAAATGGTGGCCACGTTTGTCTCCAAAACCGGCCATGTTGCGACTATTCCTCTTGGGGGACAAAGAACGGTTAATGCAGATTAGTATGCTAGCATTTGTTTGCCACAGGTCGTTTCTGAACTCCGTAAAGAGAACTGCAACCGCCGCATCATCCTCCATCACGACAATGCGAGTTCTCACACCGCGCACTGAACAAAAGAGTTTTTAGAGCAAGAAAACATAGAATTATTAGTCCATCCGCCGTACAGCCCCGACCGAAGCCCTAATGATTTCTATACTTTCCCTAAAATAAAGAATAAATTGCGTGGTCAGAGATTTTCATCACCTGAAAAAGCTGTGGAAGCCTACAAAACGGCCATTTTGGAGACCCAAACTTCCGAATGCAATGGTTGCTTCAATGATTGGTTTCGTGTATGGAAAAATGTGTCAAATTTCGCGGAGAATACTTTAAAAAGCAATAAATACATTTTTTAAATAGTAATGTTGTTTCACTTCCTTGATTCCCGAAATTTTCAGTGCCGCCCTCGTACTTATGTAAGTACGATGACAATGCAATGTTATGATACCATTGAGCTGGTCTGATGATGGAGTCAGGAGGTGGCTATAGGAACTCCTAAACGAAACGGCGGAAACTTATCGAGTTTGGGTTCGTTGGATTCGACTTCTCGAGCACTTTAGTGCTAAATAATGACCCAGAGATTGAGATACAACTAAAAAGTGTAAAATAAAATTATAATAAAAAAAAACTTTTTTAAAAACAAGCTTTATCCAGAAATGCAGTTGTACTAAAATGAAAAAAATAATTGTATGCTTGGTTCAAAGAATTTCGAAAGCTTGTATCGCGCAAACAGAAAAAAAGAGGAATAAATTCCATGCGCGATACAAGCTTTCCAAATTCTTTGAACCAAGCATACAATTATTTTTTTCATTTTAGTACAACTGCATTTCTGGATAAAGCTTGTTTTTCAAAAAGTTTTTTTTTATTATAATTTTTTATCTTTCGCTTAGATCTCTTCTTCTACCTATCGGCAAAGATTGTCCAGTGACTAAGCGAAGAAGATTCAGAGGATCAACTGCTTGAGGACAAAACAAATACGGATAATGTTATTTAACTACGTGACCAGAGGCACGCACCAACAATCTGGTTTAACCGCTGTACAAACTCAAAGTAAAACAAACTGTATTTGTTTGGAGTACTTATTAGTATATCTAAATAAGTAATGACCAAAGTAGAAGACTGATTAATTAATTATGTTTGCTCTACCAGACTAAAGGGACTTGAATGCTGAAATCTTTATCAGCAAGCGCATCAAGCTTAAAGCTTGCAAAATCGACGCGAGCGCTACATTCCACAAGCGTGATTCCACAATATTTACGTTCGGTTCGCACGTTTCGTTACGTTCCGTTGGTTCACGCCCATGCGCCGGCGCAAGTGACGTCACGCAAGTGAACGACCTTGGGCATAACTTTAACATGTGCTGAGATACTTGAGAATTCGACGAAGAAATAACACGTTTTTCTAAGCACAAGTAGAACTGTACAAGTTGAAGAGGCAAAACGAAGTAAAAAAGTTCATAGATAAATTATTTGTGAGGAAGTAGAATTGATTGATTATATTGGCGGAAGTATTCGTAGATATAATGCTATCATCAGCATCATGAGGTCATTTATTCTCCATTGCAGGAGCACGACCCTCTCCAATTTACCACAGGCAGATGTGGGATTTGGCCTTCATATTCCCCACGCCATCGCGCCACACTGGCCAGACGAGTTGGGGAAACCTGAGTATATTGTTTCTTGAACTAATATTTCACCATTAATTCATACTACGAAATATTGATTAATAAAACAATTAATTATGAATCAAATCAAAAATACTAAACTGCAATAATTTCGACAGTTACAAAGCCTCGACAAATAAATTCTATTGCGATACAGACATGACAAGGTTGTAAAATTAAACCAAATTACGAAAAAATTTGGAGTATAATAAATACTTAAATTTTGAAATGCGTTTTTAAATCGACGATAATTTACCGTGGATTTACTTAAAATATGGAATCGATTAAGTATAATATTAATTTATGAGAATAAAATACACATTAATATATCAAGGACAAAGCCTCAAACGTTCAAATATAAGCAGACTTAGGATATCTTTTTGTAGTCCGTTGTAACTCTGGCGCCCCATTAGAATCCAAGGTGGTCAATAGAAATCAGTATCTTGACCAACTGTCGATAATGTGCCACTATAAGGAATTGGACGAGACTTTTGTCAACAGTCTCCGTAGTAAATATGTAGACTTCTAAGCAACAGTGAGTGTAATAGATAGAACAAGATTTTTTGAATGCTTGGAAATGTTTCACTAATAACCTGAACCGATACGAGTGCAAGATGGGTTGCCTGATAATTTTATCGTCAATCTTTTTTGTCTTCTGTAGATTTCGATGTAACATGGCATGATATAATTAACGATCTAACTAGTGGGAGATCTGCCCACACTACGTCTTCCTGCTTGTACTCGAGAACTTTTCTGCCCCTAGGGCTGATAGGGGTATCTATCAGCCCTAGGAGCTATGTCGCCCACTGTCACTTGAGTTTAGCAATTCTGCAGGCTATGTTGATCATTTTTCTTGCGGATCTCCTCATTTCTCATTCGATCACGGAGGGATCCAATTACTCAAAACAAATGACGTGAGAGAGAGATTTTAGGAATTGCATATATGACTTAAGTAATTTCTAAAAACAATAATGAGCACTCAGAATGAGTAACTAAGATAACGAAACGGCTGATGTCAACTTTTTCAATGAAAGAGATCAGATCGATATCAGATAAGCTCGACAAAAGGAACAAAGAACGCCGCTCTACAATATTGACGTTTTTCCGGAAACTTCTTTTCATGACTTAAAAATATTCAAGAACAGAACTTCATGAAAATAACGAACTTGATAAGCGAGCGAAGTAGCAGAGGCATTCGTGTCAAGTCAATACACCTTTATAAATAAAGTTTGACCACGCTAAAAACATCCTAGCGGGTCAAGCTTATGCAAATACTTATAATTATGTACGAGTAGAACATTATGAAATAAAAGCAGAAAAACTTGTATTCCGTTGCCAAATTGAAAATGAAAAGTTTGGGAAGTCTATCAAACAAAAGTCCCTTCTCATTCCAAAGCTAAACTTTACCCACTTAATTTCATTAAACGATCCAAGTTCCTAACATTCATAGTCCTCAGCTTCATTTGCATAATGAAGTTGTTTACCTAACATTGGCGGGCATAAAGGTAAAGTGGTCAATTTTGCCGGTCAATCGTGTAAATGCAGTCCGCGATTTTATTATCCGAGAGAGAAAAAAAACCTACCTGCCGGTTGGCGCCGGCATGTCGCGGGAACGGGCCGAAGGCGGCGGGGGGAGCCCCGCGGGGATCAGAGGGAGGTGTGACAGCTTGTGTGAGGTCAAGCTCGGTGCAATGGTTAGTGAGGGGAAAGCAGAAGCGAATAACGGTATTCGTTATCGCTCTCTTTGGTACACTGCCTCTCAATAGCTAATTCGAAAATGCATGTGTACTTGATGCTTGTCACTTTTTAGATATGGTATCATTAAATCGTAATGATCTTAATAATTATGATTGAGATGTAAAACATACAAAATCGGCGACGATCGGTAACCTGCTACGGCGGGTCTGGGGTCCTGTTTTATAAGGGCTATGAGGAGAAAACCTATTAACAAAAACTGGAGGAGGGGATTGCGGTTCCCCTCGAATCCGGAGTGGTGAGACGGAGCTGTGGTCAAATGTCCAAGTTAAGGCTCTAAGAGAGCTCTCTTTCAATATGCTCCGGTGGACACCGTCGGCTTTTAGCTCACTGGTCATCCCCATCGGCCATTGTGTAATTGGGTATATGCATACTATCTTAGATTGTTGAATTGCTATCTAATAATAATATATTGTAGTTCAATAAAAAATCGATAAAATTCGTGAGCCTTACATAATTATCAAAGAAAGTAACTTTCAACATCACACTAGATTGATTGGACTCATTAAAAGTGTAAAATGGTAACAAAAAATAATTAATTACATTAATGCGCACGAATTAGTAAATTAATGTAAAGATATACTGACGGCATTTGCTGTAACGGCGATAGACAGATATTAAAGCTGCAAGGATGGTTTTTAACAATTTTTTGTAAGGAAATTTTAGGCACAAGTACATGGTACTTTCATGCTATTAAATAACGGGTAAATAACGTTATCTCTTGTTATCGGTACGTCGAAGTGTCGGACGTCTCTATTCAGGTCGCGGCGCGTCGGGGCTCCCCGCAGCCCGCGCCGCCCCCCCGCCCGTATAAAGCCGCCGAAACACACGCGCGCCGCGTTTATCGTCACCGCGCCACCGTGTCGCACAGTTCTCCGCAAGTGTTTATTTACGCGAAATTGTGAAAGTGTCTGCGATTTCACGAAGTGAGAGTACTTTGCCCAACCAAACACCTTTGACAGTCAAGTGGGGGTGAATTGTTTTGCGAATTTTAGAGAGGCGAGGTTCAATGGAAGCGAGGTTCGTGACCTGCCGGAGTTTCCAGCAGATCAAGCCGCCGGAGAAGAGCATCGCGCCGCCGCCGACGGTGAAGGGGCTCCTGTCTCGCTTCGGGAGCCAGGCACAGGCGCTGTTCGCACCCAAGAAGCCGCGTTTCGGCTCGTCGGTGGCCATCCACAAGCTCCGCGAGACCAAGTGGTTCAAGCACGATGAACAGAACATCCTGTGCGCCGTGCTGGAATCCGGATTCGTGCTGGAGGTCCGCGCCGAGGAACCTCTCCCACCGGACTCTACTTTGTGTCCCGATTACCACATGTACGCCATTGCCATGTGGAAGAAGGGTAAAGGTGTGTATTTTGTTTATTTATTGGCTTTGTGTTATCGTATTTAAATGTTTACATTGGTTTGTAACGTGATTCGCGCGCCGCGGCCGAGGCAGCACTGAATAAAGTTGGCACACGATTTAGTCACGGTCGCACGTTGGGCTCACAATAGGATTTGTAAATAATTCATGCTGGTGTGCAGCCGGCGCGTCCGACTTAATTACATTAACAGATGAATCGTCAATGAACTATACGTCCGGTTTTGTAAGAGCCATTAACGTTGGAATGCTACGCGATAAATTTTTTAAGATATTCTAATTTTACAATCTTTCGCCGGGTCAAATATCTGATAAGGAATTGTTTGTCAACAGAAAAAACAAAGAACCCGGAACAGATAGAGGTGTATACAGTACAACAGAAAGGAGTGCGCAAACGTGTCGTCAGGACAACATTGAGTGCCTTCTGGAAGAAAGATTCTGTAATCCGCATCAACAACATTGATGACAAACAGGAGACCCCAAACAACGAGAAAGACATAAGAGCCAAGGTAATAAATCCCGACGAATATCCGACGATCCCAATTAAGCGTTTCCAATTCATAACTTCGTAATCATTCAAAATCCTTGTATCATCAATCAACTTGTCGGAAGAGGAACCGTCCATAATTTAATTTGCTAGTTACATCGTTATGATTCGATAGTCAGAGCTATAGACACATCTGTCGAAACAAGTTATACCCGAGAAAAAACTTAATGACATAACTCGGGACGGCCTTCGCGATGTTCAATAAATCTAGTCACGAATGTAAACCGTTACAGCTAATGTAACGCAACATTGCCAAGAGCATCGATAGTGTAACGTAATTACGAAACTAATGCTTAACCCCGATAATTAAAATCAATTTTGTATCATGAAATATTAAGTAGACTTCAATTTAAATGCTAACAAGCACGTCCCCAATTTAGTTAACAAATGATAACCCACTAGTGTGATTGATAACCCAATCATTTGCTTCTACTTCTAAATAGGGCATCACCTATTCCTTATTACTCATTGTCCTTTCAATCTGTGAATTCGTGGAAACTTTAATGCATGACTATTCAAACCTTCAAAGGTATATCAGTTCTTTCAGTCGAACGTCAGAGTTCTTTCTTCTTTGCGTAGGCTTGCGTCAGAATTGGAAACCTCTCATTTCAGATTGCGAATGCCTTGTGGGGCTTTCGTATCTTGGGCACTGTGGACTGAGTGACACAGTGAACAGTGGAACGGCTACTAAGGAGGCTTCTACTGATTGCAGCTGGATATGGCAACTAAGTCAAGGTTCGAGAGGAACTGGCATAATACACTGCATTTCGTCCACTGGTGTCGGTACGGGGAGACTCCGCAAGAAGCTCGCATGAGACAGGTAAATAAACTCCACTCGTACGCACGCATCCAACACAAATGATCGATCCCGTAAATGGAATTCCTTCGGAGAAAATTCTAGAACCCTCAGTAACGGCGTTTTCGCACGCGCCGACTGGTTTTACTGGTTTGCGTATTTATAAAACGAATCAATTTCGTTCGTTCCTTTTTTTAAACAACCGTATCACTGTTCTACGTAAATGCCAATTCTAGAGTTTTTTTCTTAGAGACTGCATGTTTATTGTTTTCAAATTAAATCAAAAGCTGTCCTTGCAACATTAAAATCTCATCTAAAATAAGTCAATCATGTGTATCGATACAGTAATTTGTGATGACAGTTTTCTTATTGTCCCGTTTCTATTTGGGTCATTTCTATAGCTTACTGTGAATGTTTTGCGCTTAAGTTAACTGGTCATTCAAATGGGGCTTCACCATACAAGACGAGATTAAATAATGGTAATGTAAGGGGAAGATGTGGCGGTCATCATGAGGCGACGGTGTAAGCATGGACACCATCGATGGGTCGACGTACAAAACCGAGAGATCGCAACGTAGCAATTTTGTTACAGATCAGCTTAACGACGTCGAAAACACCTATGATAATCATCTTTTGATGGTAATCATTGAGGCAGTTCGGACCTAACAGCTGGCAACTTATACACACCGGTGAGGTTTTAAATTTTAATGCCGGTTAAATTTCGCCCCTAATTTTATGTATCTGTGTTTATAGTATGTAGTCCACACTTGCACATGTACATTTTCACACAATACACGTGTCGGAAGACATTAAAACGAACGTGACTCTCGAGCTATGGACGGTCAAGAATGTCTTAAAGCGACTTTTATCTTTGCAGGGAAATTATTTCTATGCCATTCGTGATGTTAGAGATTCTGAAAGTCACGATTGTTTTATAAATGCAGGTTACGATCACACGTATTTTTTATCATGTCTAATCGATTACCGTTGGAAACTATATCTATAAATCATTAACAATATTCTGACACACAAACGCCTTTTATAAAAAAACAATTATTTTACTAGATTTTATAGTAAATTTCAAAAAAACAATATTAGGACAGGTAACTGTGTCCACTTGTGAAAACAATGATATCATTCTACATTATTGTAAGTCCTTTGCAAAGACAATTTGTTTAAACAACTGCTAAGGCTTTGTTAGCGTACAACGTATTTAGTCACTATCGACATTTATCATTGTCTACTTGAAATAGGTAATTTTAAATTCCAATTGAATACCTATACCTTGACTATAAACTGAATAATATGAAACTAGATATTTTGTTTCGCTGAATTAAGAATTGATTTAGAAAGGTACGTTTTTTTCTATTACATAGGAATTTGCACACAACACATCTTTATCTATTTTAAACTACATATATCTATTTTATCTATATGTTTTAACACGATAGAGGTGGCAGTCACAAACATAAGTCCATACATTTTAGAAATTTTCAAACTAGTTTTTGTCTAACAAAGCAAAATTTTCTACTTGTCTTTCTTGTGTTATCATCAGCCTGATGTTTTGTTCAATTTATTCATATTCTTGTTTTGGTGGTGTATTTTAAACTTAGATCTGATTAGAATCATGATTTTTGACTAACAGTTCTGTTTTTTTGCCCCCCTTTTTTAACAAAATGTTTTCCCTTCTTTTATTTGGTGATTTTAGTATCTATTTGTTACGCAAGAATAATATCGTAACTTGGGATACACCACAATATTATTCAAAGCATATTGAACTTTAATGACAAGAACATTAAAACATTTACGTAACAAAATACCAACACAAAATATTGACGTTTTTATCAACGGAGTTTGCCCGCATTGAGTCACCTTGAGGTTATCAGTGCAGTCGTAATTTTATTGCAATAGTAAACCGTGATAAAAGTAGACCTATCATAACAAAGAGGTCATGGACAGTTTCCTAAATATGTATATAAATTCGTCTAAAGACATTATCAAGTAGTTATCAATTTTATTGCGCATTTTAAATGACAAATATTACACAATAAATATCCAAATTAACTATAATTTGTTATCCAGGATGTGGTTAGATTATTATTTTTATTAACCAAAACATTGTAAAAATATTTAACTTATTTGTTTCCCTAAAACCCGTCCCGCGAATAATGTCGTAACTGAAAATTGAGTTGCAGCGTTATACGTCGGAACATGTATTTCATGTAAAGTATTTTTTGTTGCAGATAAGCGAGTCGCTAAAGTGGGGCAACATCGGCATGAACATGGGCGTGATGCTCGTGAGCCAGGCCCACGTCAGGGAAAAGGCTAAATCAGTCTGAGTGTCACAGCCCAGCGGCTCAACCGCTGGCAACACCTGCTGCGCTTGCTTTTGGCTGCCCAACACCAACATAGACTACGTCTAATTTGAAATTCAAACACCATTCGAATTTCAAATTTCGGAACACGCAGCTGATAAAAAGTTCCTTTACTTTGAATTTCAATTTCGAATTCTCAATTTCGTCGTTCTATTCTACATCAGTATTTTGTCTCTCTTTCGCTCCACTATCTTGAGTTTGTACGGACGCTCTAACGAAGAGGTAAATTATTGGACAAAACAAACATTCCTAATTAAAGACGCCCCGTGCTAGTAATAATGCTCTAATCTATGATATTACAGTGTTAATCAGTTTTCGTAAGATAGGCGATAATGTTAAGGCGAAATCATGATTAATGGTCTGAGAGTGACAACCCTAGTCTTACGTGTTACTTCTATGTTTTTCTTATGAAATAAGACTGTTTTCTATTATATTTATGATGGAATAATGACAATTGACTACGACAAACATAATTTATTGAATTGGAAATTTAATACATCTCTATCAATGTTTCGTAGTCTGTTCAGAGTTTGATATGTTTAAAGTATTTCGATCTTTGTATTCTAAATAACGACCTAATTAATGTTATTTGTGAACGTCGGATGTTGAGTTTGTGAGAGTATTGTACTCGTAAGTTAAGTTCTATTTATAATGAAGCATTTTTTATAATAAATGATTAATTGATATTTCTGTATTTTATTTGAGAGATAAAATGTTCGTAAAAGTGCTAATTATAATATTATGATTAGGGTAAATCAAGATCATTCCGTGCCATATAAGAGCACTATTCAATCGAATCATGATAGACACTTATGGAAATTCATGAAATCTGACACCAAAAGAAGAAAACAATATTATTATCATCAATACTGCAGGAGCAGGAATCAATAGCAGGCTGCAACCAATAGATCAACATGGAAAGCATTGGGGGAGGCCTATGTTCAGCAGTAGACGAGCTATGGCTGAAATGATGATGATGATGATCATCATCAATATATTCTAGTTCGTCATAACTTAAGTCATTTTAACTAAATAATTCACAGCCCTGACTAGAGAACGCAGGAGTTAGTTAAAACAAGTTATAAGTAGCTATTTCATAGATAGCACGCAGTAATAAACTTCATAACAGTGCATAGTTATCGATGTTAGTTAATATGTATGTAGTTCAATAGCAATCTATTGGAAATAGTGACTTCATATTATGTTCAATAAAATATAGGTACAAGTATCTAAATTGTTATTCCAGCTACATTATTCAACGTATCAACAGATATTGATCTAAAGTGAGGTATCCCACTATGAAGTGGGATACGTATAAAAATGGTGTGAATTAATTGCTAATGAAAATGATCCATCCTTTTTTACGTATATCCATAATAAAATGACTATTTCATGGAATGCAGATGGTACTTTTGTAGCTTTGATCCATTAGTTCTAAGTGGCTAAAGATTTTAACTTTATCAGAAAGTACCATATACCATCTGGTACGTTATAAAGATATTGTGGTTGCTCTGCTTATGGTTCACCTAGTGTAGTAAGCGAGATTTTTCAGTCGCCTGTCTTTATGAAGAATTTCTACGCTTAATTTTACAACGTCATGTAGTGTTTGTTAAGAAACAGGGAGGTGGGTATTTTATCACATATCTTTCATGTATTTCTCTGAAATAAAAAATCTAAAACATAACTATCCTTCTGGCGTATTTGGATAAATAACAGTCCACTGACCTCTCTCAGCAGTCCAAACAGCATGTCAGTAGACAGCGATCGCTCGTGGGCTTCGTCCATGATGATGGCGCAGTAGTTGTCAAGATCCGGTTCCCTTAACCCCTCTCACAGAAGGATACCATCCGTCATGTACTTGATGACAGGATGACAGTCTAGCGGAGCGGAGTGAGGAAGCGGAGAGGAGTGAGGAAGCGGAGCGGAGCGAGAGAGTAATGTGGAACGGATTACGGACTGCATCTGTCCATAGACGCGGAGCTAGGTATCGGAGAGGAGCGCTCCACTTCTCCGCTACAAGTTTTCTCTCCGCTTCCTGGTTTTTAAATCTAAAATACAGTTCACTGACCTCTCTCAGCAGTCCAAACAGCATGTCAGTAGACAGCGACCGCTCGTGGGCTTCGTCCATGATGATGGCGCAGTAGTTGTCAAGATCCGGTTCCCTTAACCCCTCTCACAGAAGGATACCATCCGTCATGTACTTGATGACAGGATGACAGTCTAGCGGAGCGGAGTGAGGAAGCGGAGAGGAGTGAGGAAGCAGAGCGGAGCCCGAGAGTAATGTGGAACGGATTACGGACTGCATCTGTCCATAGACGCGGAGCTAGGTATCGAAAAGGAGCGTTCCACTTCTCCGCTACACATCTTCTTTCTGCTTCCTGGTTTAAAAATCTAAAAAACTGTTCACTGACCTCTCTTAGCAGTCCAAACAGCATGTCAGTAGACAAGGACCTCTCGTGGGCTTCGTCCATGATGATGGCGCAGTAGTTGTCAAGATCCGGTTCCCTTAACCCCTCTCGAAGAAGGATACCATCCGTCATGTACTTTATGACTGTGTTGGGAGACGTGCAGTCTTCGAAACGGATCGCGTAGCCCACTTCGTCACCTGTAAGATTTTGTAAAGGTTTGGATTAGAAGGGATTGAAGGGCGAGATTTGTTTCAAAGGTTCAAAGTTTCTACTTTCCGGTGTTTTCCTTGGAATAAGTTATGAACTTTGGTAAATATGTAAATACATTTATTAATTGTTTTTTTTTATTTATTTGTTTATTAGTAGTTGTTGTAAATATTTTTTGTCCTCAAAGTACAATTTATCGGTTTTCACTATGAGCGCCTGTGGGTTGTAATATAGCAATGTAACTAATAACACGTTTATTGCCCGCCGTAGCTAGCAGGTGCCGGGCGAGTTTACCGAAGGCCCTTAAATTAGGGTTTCAGCAAGTGTCATCGGGTGTAGGTAGTGCTTTAGAACCAGAGAACAAAACTATTAGAGTAATTTGGCAGTTATTAAGATGCTTTATGAAAGGTTATTTATCCATACTAATATAATTCGCTAATCTCAGGAACTACTGGCCCGATTTGAAAAAAATATTTTTGTGTTGGATAACCCATTTATCGAGGAAGGCTTTAGGCTAAAATATAACATGACCTTACGGCCAATAGGCTCGAAGCAGTAGAGAAAATGTTGCAAAAACGGGAAATATTATTCAAACTATTTTCGCGCGTACGATGTCACGGGCACAGCTAGTTATCAATAAGAGTGTTATTAAATTGGATAGACTAACGATCTAGTGAAAGTCGCCGCAAACACCCAGATACGAGTAGCGTAGGATCGGTCGTAGCAGAAATTCTTAGGGGTGGCTTTTGTCCGACTGATAATGATGTCTTTATTTGACTAATGCCCGTTTTCACCATCAAACCCTAATTTTTAAGTGACCACTATGTAAACAAAATTCCTGTTATGTGTTACCATAAGCGTCACTTAAAAATTAGGGATTGATGGTGAAAACGGGCATTAAACGAACAAGTGTATTGTGTATTACCTAGCTTAGTATTCATTTCATCAGAGACTCGCTTGGCTACAGACATGGCAGCTACACGTCGCGGCTGCGTGCAACCGATCATTCCCATCCGGCTGTAGCCTTCCTCGTGCAAGTATTGGGTCAGCTGCGTAGTCTTGCCGCTGCCGGTCTCACCTGTAATCAAAATCAAAATTATCTTTATTTGTTTAAATCCTGGTCCGTGAGCACGTAGAATTTTGTCCAATGACCCCAAGCTACCCATCCTTATCGCTCGCGCGTAATTATATCGCTGTCGCGACTGTGCGACGCGCGCCCGCAGTGAGTGTGCGAGCGCGACAGCGATATAATTACGCGCGAGCGATAAGAATGGGTAGCTAGGGGTCATTGGACAAAATTCTACGTGCTCACGGGCCAGGCTTTAGACTAATTAAATTAGTACTTACAAATCGTCAAATGCTCTTAAGGAGCCTATACATGTCTCATTCTTTTTTTGCCCTACCAGCGCTTCGAGACAAACATTTGGCAAGTGCTGAGAAGAAGCGCCGCAACAAACTCAGTCACCACTGTCTGCCGGTTTAATAATAATCACATCAAAAATCGTTTAATTCACATAACAAGCTTAGAAGTAATGGAATCACAGATCGCAGAAACTAAAGGGAGATGTGAAAAGGGGGCGGGGCCAGTGTCGCAGCAATATGTCCAAAAACAGAACACATTGCGCGAGGAATGAAGACACAGTGACATTATGTGTAAACAGTTTACATTGCTTGCGTAGTACTAAAGATTGTTCAAACGTTGAGTACTGATACCGCAGTGGATAAAGAGCACATATTTTGATTACTTTGTGTGCGTGAATTTCTATTGCGACACTGAGTGTCGAACTCAGCGCATTAGTTGGCATCTCTCTATACCTCTATGGTGTAAACAGTTTACATTGCTTGCGCAGTGCTAAAGATTATTCAAACGTTGAGTACTGATACCGCAGTGGATAATGAGCACATTTTATTTTATTTTTTTATTTTATTTATTTAATAGGACAACCAACAAGACATACACTGGAAGACAATCAATATTTACAACGTATTTAACTTAATCTAAGTGCTGCCTTAATTATAGGTTGCCACGGCATGCAATAGTGGACTTATACATAAACAGTGTCTACACTTAAAGAAAAGAGTTTCTTCAGCGAGTATTATTTAGCTGGAATAACATTTCGCCAGCGACTCGATGCGAAGCTGTTTAGGATTTTTCGTTTAAATGAAGGTAGCTTGTCCCGAAAGACATCTAGATCAAGATCGAGGTTCCTTGATATACTTTTAAACTGTCTTTGGAGTCTGTTCATGGTGGCGTAGTGACCTAAATACATTCATACTATAAGAATACATTCAATCGAACGTCACTGCGTATGAAGTGGTCTGTACCCACATTACTTGTAACTTGGTATACGAACGAATAATCACACTGAATGCAGTGTGTGCACATGACACACACTCTTTGCGACGTATTGTTTTTATTTTGACTACTTTTGTGTGTGAATGTCAAATGCGAGACTGGGTTTCGAATTCAACGCATTAGTTGGCATTTCTCTGGATCTCTATGGACACTTTTTTATACATAACATGGCAGTTATTTGACCACAATCGCACCTGATGTTAAGTGGGACGCAGTCTAGGATGGTGCATATCAGCCCTGTAAGTGCCTATTCACTCTCGCCTTGAAAAGGCCCGCATTATAGTCTTCGGGAAAGACAGCGGCAGGCAGCGAATTCCAGTCCCTAGCTGTTTGCATAACAAAAGAGTCATCGAAACGCTTAGTGCGAGCTGGTGGAATGTCAACAATATAGGGATGTTACGCTAACCATACCATACCATACTGAGGGTAACAACCTAGTCCATAAAATCGTACTGTATTAAAATTTGTAAATCATATTGGCTGTAACCTGTTTTGTACGTCCTAAATCTATATAAATAAAAATGAATTGCTGTTCGTTAGTCTGATTAAAACTCGAGAACGGCTGGGCCGATTGAGCTGATTTTGGTTTTAAAATGTTTGTCGTAGTCCAGGGTAGGTCAAAACGGTGAGCAAATAAGGAAAAATTGCGATGGCTTCTTCATTGCCTTTAAGGCGGAACAGAGTTCGCCAGGTCAGCTAGTAAATAAATAAATAACATGGAAATGATTGCTATTTTTCATTCATTTTCATTCTATGAAATGATGATTTTTTCATATGATTTCACATGCGAAATTTCACAGGCAATGATTTTTTTTTATTCGCAGTGTAGCTCTCTCATATAATGTGCTACTTTTAATGAAGTATGAATTATGATGAAGGATTGCTAAAATATGAAATGTAACAACATCTGTTTCATTTATGTCGCACAACAAAAAACAAACAGTTTCACAGCACATAAATAACCGCGCGACTAGTGAAAATCATTCATTTCATCTGCCTGCTATCTAATGAAATCATACGAATGATGACAAGGAAATCTAAACCTTACACCTTTGAGTTTAAAGTTCATATTTAAAATGTCCAGTTTCGTCCGTCATCACATCTCTTGTCCTTTTCTAACACGCACATGATCAAATCATTCCTTCTTATTCGCTCGGTCGCTTCGCAGAGCTGCGCTCACGGACTTCGCTCGAATGAATTAATGAAATTCATGTGATTCGTGATTTCGTTTACTGTGAAATTATAGCAGTCTATGTGAAGTAATTTAGCAGGTGTGATTAATGAAATTCATTTCATATGATTTTCACCTGCTATTCATGAAATGTTCCATGCCTAGTGGAGTTAGTTTGTGTAATTCTTTCGCACATTCGTTGTTCGAACTCTCACTTTAGTGTTGTCCAGCTGTACTCACCGACGATGATGACGACGCTATTCTCCCGGATGACTTGCATCAGCTCCTCGCGTACGGCGAAGGCGGGTAGGTAGCGCCGTTGTTCCGCTATCGTCTTCTTTGTCACGAATTCCGACTTGGACGCTGGTTCTTCTGCCTCAGCTAGAAGACAGAAGGAATGTCATTGATTTATTCATCACACATTAGTTTGGGAACAATGAGGTCATTGTGTGTAGAATATGACCACTCCCACTCTTCTTTCATCATCATCATCATCATTTCAGCCATAGGACGTCCACTGCTGAACATAGACCTCCCCCAATGACTTCCACATCGCACGGTTCGCACAGCGCCTTCCTGCCTTTATCAGGCCGTCGGTCCACCTTGCGGGTGGACGTCCCACGCTGCGTTTTCCGGTACGCGGCCTCCACTCCAGAACCTTGCTGCCCCATCGGCCGTCAGTTCTGCGTACTATGTGCCCTGCCCATTGCCACTTCAGCTTGCTAATCCGCCGGACTATGTCAGTGACTTTAGTTCGTTTACGGATCTCTTCATTTCTGATTTGATCTCGTAAAGAAACACCGAGCATAGCCCTTTCCATAGCACGCCACGCACCTTCTTTCAGATGTCGTAAAACCCGATCAGCGAGCCTCAACAAACTGTCTGACGTTTACTGTCAAATAAGAACCTGTCACTCGCCAGGCAGTGGCGCTAACTAGTGAGCGAAAATACGGTAGTTATCTTATTACATTTTATACTTAACAGTATGGGGGGATTAAGTTTGTAAACACAATTCATAATAAAACACTGACACAGACTTCAATTTTGCTGGAAAAATAACTAAGTGAAAAATATTACCTTTGTCCAAATGTTCGGCATATTTATACGCTTCCTTAGTAGGTCCATCTTCCTCTTCTTCTTTCTCTTTCTGTATTCCCATGATGTTTCCTGAAAAGGAAAAGAACACAAGTTAGAAAAAATAAATCGATAAACTACACTACATTTTAAAACCCTTCTCCAACACAGCATATTGCTAGCATAGCATAGCTAGCTGTGCTCTTATTACTAATTTTAATACTACTTGCATTAAAAGCCTCTTATACAGTGAAAGTTACACTTGGTGTGGCTTTTTGTATACAGTCGCCAGCTGCCACATTATAAGTATATTTTTTGTGGCAAAGTCGCACCTATTACAAGTACACTAAATGCTACAGCATCAAATAGTTCGTAACTTCCAAAGTGGCCAAAAAGTTGACAACACAGTTCCAATCGTAACGAAGACGTGTTGAGAACTTTTTGAATAATTTGGGTGTCAGGAACTATTTGACGCTGACTGTACGAAAAAAAAGACAAAATATAATATGATTTGTACCTAATTTAGTCCCTTCCAGTTTCCAGTGTTTCTTCTGCGCTTTTCTTCTTTCTTTTTGTTCTCTGAACGCCTTCACCAAGGCAGAACCTTTCCTGGCATTGATCGCCATGTCTGACGTTGGATCTTTTACCTAAATATTAAAACAATTACATTAAAGATATTAGAGTATACAATAAAATGTACAAGATTATGGGTGCAATGTAGGAAGAATATAAATAAAGCTTGCCACCAGGTGTGACGATGACCAGTCTGGCATGAGTGTGGAAGTTATTTTTTGTGGCCTTTATTTTTATAAAATATCGAGGCACCACCCATATTTTACATAGCATATGAATTATAATTTTTTTCTGAATAAGCTTAGCATGTTGGGAATCTTTATAATACCGTTAAAACCATAATTATTATAAGATGTGTGATGCTTTAAATATAAAGCTTACCGGGATAACAGGCTCAGGCTGCTTTGTAAAGACGATTCTTCCGTCGAGGAATGGCGGCACGATGTTATGAACAAGTAGATGCACGCGGTCTACGCTTTCCTATAAACATAAAATTGGTAAAAACTTTACTGATATTAATTTAGAGGGCACATAGTACGCAGAACTGATAGCCGATGCGGCAGCAAGATTCTGGAGTGGAGGTCGCGTACCGGTAAGCGCAGCGTGGGGCATCCACCCACAAAGTGGACAGACGACATCATAAAGGTAGCAGGAAGACGCTGGACGCAAGCCGTCTACCAACCGGTTAACATGGAAATCATTGGGGAGGCCTATGTTCAGCAGTGGACGTCCTATGACCGAAATGATGATGAATTTAGATAACACAGATTAGAGCGCAACCATTATTTTGTCAGTGTTTCTTTTTGTGCTTGATAATGTATAATTATCTACCTACATAAAATTTGTTAATTTCTCATGTAAGTGACTGTAATGTTTTTAATGAGAAATAAATGTTCTTTAAACCTATTACAAAAATTGTTTGCACTCAAGCGTCAACAGATGGCGTTGTGCTGAGTTGACTCGCGGTGACAAAGTTTCTGCTCTCACCTCGTCCAAATCATTGTTGACGTTGATAGAGTGCACCACACCACTGGTCAGCATTCTGTTCCGCTCCCACAGCTCGTTGTCCCTGTCTATCTGTTGTCGCTGCGCTGACACCTTCCGATTGCGTCGTTTCTCTATCTGTTCTTCTTTGCGTGCCACGTATTCCGCGCTGGTGCCGGCGAATGGATCCGATTCGTCTGCTTCACCTGATTAATAGTAAAAGAATTTATAGTAGTGTAATAGGGCTATCGTTTTTATACTCAACTGTTGGCACCCCTGGCGATTGACAGGACCTTACTCTACAGTGGCGCCATCTTAATGAGTGCAAATGCGAGTCTTCCTACCACTTTCGCGCTTACCAGTTGGTGCCACTGTCATCGCTACTAGCAAGTGACAGGATCTAACTCTACAGTGGCGCTAACTGGTGAGCGCTAAAACGATAGCCCTCATTATGTTACGCTTTAAGGCTTGGTTCAGACACGCGGATTCTGCGTGGTTTTCTTTCTTTGGTAAGGCAATGAGGCGGTAACCGTGCGGTTATGGTTTGATGCGAAAGTACGAGAACTGTGCGATTATAGTTGTGTCTGAACCAGGCCTTATACTCTCTAAACCAAGGGACTACCAGCAATCCCATATCATAAACAAATTAAAGTGAAGCTTAGAACCGCAACGAAATCTGAAAGACAACAGCAAAGTACACCATTTACTTCCAAGTTGAAGTTAAGACAGATGACTTGCATAGTCTTATTAAAACAGGTTTTTGAGAGAAAAATGTATTTAAAAATGGTTGACATACCTTCACCCATGTTGTACCAAGCTCTATCTAATTTCTTTTCAGCTTCTTCCCATTCAGAGTCCTCAATATCCAAGCCACGTCTGGAAGTGGCAAACCTGGAAACGAGAAACAAGATAAGGTAAAGTATATTGTAAGTGGCATATTGTAAAGATATGACTTAAATCATACCTGCTGATAGGTTCCTAAGAGCATTGCACACATTTTAGTGTAATTGCTCAGAAATATTCAATAGGAATATCAATTTACAGAAACACAGTATTTAATTACCTCATTAATGGATAACACTAGGACAATATGGATTTCTGGAGTGCATAACTGCAGAGAAGGTTGACAAAAAATCGCCAGTATTTTTTTTCAATACACAACATGAATTTTTAGCTTCACTGCAGTTGGTTAGAAAATGTCTTCAGTTTTTGCAATTACTTACTTGTGTGGTGTAGCTCTATCCGAGTACACATAGGGTCTCCCTTTGTAATCCCTCAATGGTTTGCCACTCCTGTCACTCCTCTGTGACCTGTCGGATGGCCCGGCATCCCGCGGCAGTGGGGTCGGGAAGTCCCAGCTGGATTTACGTAGAGGAGCCTTGAGATCATCATCATCGTCATCCCAGGCTGTTTTGTCTGTGGGTTTTAGGACTTTCAGGCTGAAAAACAAAAAGCATTTTAAACTGAATTCGTAAAATTCATTTATTTTGCAAATAGGCTTTTAAAAAGCACTTTTACACGTCCCAATATTAACGCTACCACTGCTTCGGGACAATAAATGGGCCAGTGCTGAGAAGAAGCTATGTACATTGTATTTTAAAAACAAGGGCAACAATCTATCTCTACAGAAAGCAATAAAAAAATTGTTTGTCTTGTCTATCACTTTGTAAATGGTAATTTAACTCCTCTTGACACTATCATTAAAATCTCATTCTAAAGCCCGTAGTTCAGTGAGCACGTAGAATTTTGTCCAATGACCCCAAGCTACCCATCCTTATCGCTCGCGCGTAATTATATTGCTGTCGCGACTGTGCGACGGGCGCCCGCAGTGAGTGTGCGAGCGCGACAGCAACATAATTACGCGCGAGCAATAAGGATAGGTAGCTTGGGGTCATTGGACAAAATTCTACGTGCTCACGGACCAGGCTTTAATAACAAATGATCCAGACTAGGTTGTGATAAACATTTTGTGTATCCATATAATTTTACAATACCTGGGTGTCCTAGGCTCATCCTTAAACCTTGGTTCATAATAGCTCCTTCTTGAGCTGTCTCTACTTCTTTCACTGTCCCGATCCCGCCTATCCCTCCTCTCGGAATCCCCTCTCCTCCCCGAATCCCTGTCTTTTCTCCTATCTCTATCCCTGTCCCTGTCTTTCCTGTAGTCATCATGTCTTCTGTCCCTGTCACGTCTGTCATAGCGGTGTCTGTAGTACCGATCATCTTCGTCATCCTTTGATCGTGATTTCTTTTCTTCTTGAGTTGAATTGTGCACTCCTTTCTCTTTTAATTCTTTATCTTTCCTATAAACAGTCAATCAATATTAGGAAATCACCAACATAAACAGTAAATGTGAAATAATAACCTAAAAATTTTACTTGATTTAATAAAAAGAATTTAAAAGTTGGTTCAATAATTTAGGGCAGTGAATACATAAATGGCAATACAGTTAGTAAGCACTACTACGGTGTAAAATCTACTAGTGACACAACATTTCTTGCATGTGATACATACAAGAAACATTTATATGGAAAATCTATGATTTTTACCTCTGTAACCTCTCAATCATGCGTTCCCGCGCTTGTTCTGAGATACCACCAGTGTATGTCGGAGTCTCTTCATTGTGCTTCCTATATTTACGTTCCTTAGTCCCGCTAGATTCACTGCGATCAGCCTCATCGTCTTCTTCATTCGCGTCGTCTTGGAATGATATCAGCCGATTCTGCTTCCTCTTAGTTGCAGCCAGCTTATCAAGCCCCAACAAGGATGGCCTTGCAAACTGGAAGTCTGCTGGTTCATCCTTCTTTTTGATGATCAAACCTCCAGGAGCATCCCCAGATGATCCCTCCAAACGATGCAGTGTTTTGTCATCCTCCGACATTGTAAGAGGTAGGCAGAGTCACCAGTATCTCACTTTTTTAAGTACACAGCTATTGATTTAACAGTTTTGAGTTATTTATCCGAAAACAAAAGGAATAAATTGCAAAACATTGCACCAGATCGTGTTCAAAATAAAAGCATAGAGAAAAGTACTTCTTCTTCTTCTTTTATTATGGCAACGACTTGGTATTGAGAACCATGATTTCGCCAATGTCACGTAAACAGCTTTGACAGAGTGTAACAGGGTTTAAAAAAAAAACAAAAGTATTTACATTTCTAATTAAAAGCAAAATTATTTGTGTGAGTACCTAAAACAAAAAAGACAACACAAATTGAGACAACACAAATAAATACATAATATAGAAATTAAAATGTAAGGGAAAAAAAAGGGTAGGTAGGATGAAGGATTGGGAGAGGAAAAATAATTTTGATTACCTACAAACGAATTTTGCGGGATTGGATAAATTTTGATAAAAGTTTTAAAAGCGGGGGGTCCATAGAGTTTAGTATNTCTAGAGAAAAGTAATACATAGGAAATAAAAGTGACTGACGTTTGACACTAATGACATATTCACGTGCTGTCAAGTAAAATGTTGCCATGATAAAATATAACTAAACCATTTTAACATTGAGTGGCATTGACTGACTTTAAAGTTGGAGAGGGCATAAATAAAATTCCTGTCATGTGTCCAAAATGGTACAAACATTGTAAAGAATTTCCATTATAATTATTTTCTGTTTTATTTATTTATTTTATTTTATTTATTAGGACAACCAACAAGACAAACACGCATTATGTTACCATACCGACCATCCATAACGAGAACGATTTTTAATCGTGCTAGGGGTACTGACGAGTTGGGTTTTGGGTGGCGTTCGGGAAACCCAAAAATTAGTCCTGAAGTTCGAAAATTACGGCTAAACTCTCTTGAAAGTAAATGAAGCGTAGGATCCATTATAGGCTAATAAGAGCTATAAACTGAGGGAATTGAGCCCCTAAATTATTATCATTACTTAATATTTATCTGAGATTAAAGCCCAACATTATGTAAGTAATTTAAGTAACCTACCTACTTACTTAAGTGCCTTGGAAGCTTATATATCTAATCAACTGTAATCGACTGAGCCTAAGAACGGGTTTTGGGTCTTGGGAACGCAGGGCGCGTTTTTAAAACATACGATTTCAAAGCAACACAATTCGCAACCTAACTATATTTAAGTAAACCTATTATTTCGTTGCGATTTGGAATTGCTTCAAAGAGAAATCTTCAAAATCTTATCTATCAAGTGACTCTAGATAAGTTCTTGGAAACTATGAAATTGGTTGGAACAGTGTTTAACAAGCGTGTAACTTTTTATTTGTAAGGGCTTACTTACATAAGTGTCTAAGGGCGTGCCGATCATTATGTTGTGTACCTAAACACAACTAATCTGGAGACGAGCAGGTCTTGTTGAGTTAGGAACATAATATAGGTAAAAATAACAAATCTGATATTAAGTAGACAGATAGGTTCCTGACCCTTGTCATATGCCTGACACTCTTTTAAATGAACATGATTTGCACATTAAACGTGTATAGTTGGGTCAGCGCTAGTCCGAGGGTTGCGGTCAAAGGGTTTGTAAATACATAAAGGAATAAGTAGGTACCTGCTCGTCCTTGCACAAAGCACGTGTAAGCAACAGAATATCAATAAGCGTGGGAAGGTATTATGTGTCCTAATAACAATCAATCAATTAGCTGGAACTCGTAAAGCTTTGCATGAAATTCATCTTCCCAACACTCAATCTGTCATGGAAATTAGAGAATTATTGCCCAGTGGCGGAAACGCGTTCATACCTAGAATTAGTGCCAAGCAATTAAATCCTACGAAATAAACAAAATAACCGCCGCAAATTGCACATATGCGAATAAATCACATGTGTAAATCTTTTCGTTTGGTCGGACAACAAAAATAGAACAGTTTGTGATCGACTCCTGTGGCATAGAGACGTGTGTGCCATGGTTTAAAAAAAAACGAGATTGCGCGCGAAAAATTTTGCCGGCGATAGTCTGTTGTTGAATTTTAAGTTTTTTTTAGTGGCCAGAATTATTGTGATAATTTATTTCAGTGAATATTTTGATTTAGCTCTTTGAAGTTTTAAATTTAGCGTGTTTTGTGAGAAGCGATGTGTGACAAGGTCGATTTAGGGGCAATTTAATAGGTGACAAGTAGGCGCAGTCCCAGTGGTTGTTTTAGTGATTTTATTTATTTGTGATTTTTGGTGAAGTGAAAATGATGCTGGCCATGGAGAATCGAGATAAAGATATTCCAGGTTTGTTTTTTCGTCATTCTCTTCTTTATTCTTTTTTAGTCATTACAAAAAGTTTTTATTTTGTACTGAAAAGTAGGTCTTAGATCTGATGATTTTTTCTGAATTGGAATAAAAATAATAAAAAGTTTGAATGAAAATATTTGAAATTATTAGCACATTAGCATCCGACACCCAAACGAGCGATACGTTTAAAATCCAGGAAGCGAATTGTGTAATATCCATATTCCAGCAGTTATCTTCGAATGTATCCGTTCATTAACTTTATCACAAATTGCGAAAGCCGTGCGTGTAAACATTCTGTAAAGGATTAGCAGCACAGTGCCGGTCTGTAATTGATTAGCAGATAGGAGTAAGTACTGCTGAGTCGGGCGTTTAGTTCCCAGCTAAATAATAAAGTTTACCTATTCAATAACCTTTATGTACCAAAATAACAAGTTATCGATAAAAATAAATTTCGATAAATACTAAATAAATCATTTGTAACGTATTTTGAATTTTAAAAAATATGCGTATTCGTATGCGAATTGGAAATCTGGAATGCTTAGTAACTTGGTAAGTCCTCAAATTCACCCGTGACAAATTATATCTGTTTAAACCCTATTGTTTTTTTTACTGTTCTAAGATGCCATTATGGCACGAAAAACACTCGAGGGACAAGGGCCTGTTGATTCATGTTAAAAATTGTTCTGGAAGCGATATGACTCACGTCTATGACACAAGGTAGTTACATCCCACACAGAGAGTCTATTTAGTGATTATTCCCAAAGTCAACTGAATTGATCCGAGTGGGAATCCGTCGGAGCTAGCTAATCCATTTATTTTGCAATGCAGTGCACAAGACAAATGAGTGCCGACGTCGTTAGTAAATATTTTACACATGTACTCTGTCTATCCATGTAAATAACTCTTAAGAAATAGAAAAGTTTTTTTAAATAGCGCGCCATTTCTTTCGATCCATTGCAGCGTCAATCTTTTTCATCCAATAAATAACAACTGTCCTTTAGGTTTGTCTGGAAGAGATCGCTTTATAGCAATAAGTCCCTGCCGTGTTCAAATACAAGCTGAAAAATATAATTTGATAATGTAGGACCACTATTGATTTATGTAGGTATTCGTTCGTTCGTTCGTTTCAGCCGAAAGACATCCACTGCTGGACAAAGGCCTCCCCCAAGGTATTAAAAAAGTATTAAGACATCAGTATCCTTTAAGTTAGCACCCATAAAAAGTTAAGTTGCTTAATTTGGGGCTAGCGTGCGCTGTGTGAAATTGTCCAAAGATTTATTTATTTATTATTTATAATTAGAATTTTATCATTTTATGCAACACGATTAATTTTTTTCATAATATCATCCTGCTTACAAAATTAATCACGTGTCGCTACTCCCAATCCCAACGCTAATCTGGACTAATTAATCTCCTGTAATTTACCTTTTAATGCGGATTAAATACCGCCGTAAAGTAGATTAGATTAGGCTAATCCAAAGATAATGATTTGAAACAGTAGTCGATCTTTGGAACTCATGGTTTTACTATAAAGGATACAGATAGCTGATTATCTTACGAGTAGGTTGGTGGTTGTAGGAATTAACTCTATACAGGGTGTTAGGTAAATGGGTATATGAGCCGACACTAGCCCATGTTAACATGGTCATAAAATATAAATGGTATGGTGAAGTCAGAAATTTGATATCATCATTTTAATTTTTTAAATTTTCATACAAAATAAATTTTATAAAATCTGATTTGTATGAAAATTAAAATAATTAAAATGAAGATATCAATTTTCTGACTTCACACCATACCATTTATATGACCATGTTAACATGGGCTAGTGTCGGCTCGTATACCCATTTACCTAACACCCTGTATAATAGGTTAAGAGGTAGTTTGTAAATTATAACTAATATTATAGCGTGTGTTATGTGGTAATTGGCAATACATGGTAAACTTGTAAATGTAAAAGTGAAGTCCAAAATCCAAAATCGATAAAATAAATAAATAAATCGATACGGAGAACTCTACCAATGTAATTTTTTTTCAGAGGCTGGATAGAGCCTTAATTGAATAATTTATTTAATGTAATCGGCTTTCTCTCCCAACCTTTGGTCCAGTTGTGTGTTAAACCACCAGCGGATCGGATATCTGATAAGTACATTAAAATAATATTCAAAATTATCGCAAATGAAAATTTAGACAGTTAAGGATTAGCGCCTGAATTTCATAAACTTTTGTAAACTGTTACTGAAAAAGTTAAAACAACATGCAAGTACTTACTAGCGATGAATAATTTTAATCAAGTCACTACAATACACATTTAGTATTCAGATCAACATTCAATAATTACTTGACAATCGAAAGAATTTGCATAAAGTATCAAGGGTAATTTAATATTCTTAAGTCTTTAAATCGATCACATGATTGGATCTACATAATTATAATTGTTGTAACCATTTTTTACTTCAAACATTTTTTATTGAGGTTGAAAATAGCCCCCCATCAAATGTTTGTGACAGATACTTCAAATTGCTTCAGGGTACGAGTACCTACTGTCAGTTACTTTGACAAGCGTAAAGTAGTTACCGAATTGATATCGTAAAAGAACATTAAATTCTACTCAAATCAAAGCAAACAAACGCTGGCCGTAACAGCGTTATCATCTTCATCATAATTATCTCAGCCATAGTCGTCCACTGCTGAACATAGGCCTCCCCCAATGCTTTCCATGTTGCTCGGTTGGTAGCGGCCTGCATCCAGCGCCTTCCTGCTACTTTCATGATGTCGTCGGTCACAGCGGTCGTAACAGCGTATTACACTTAAAAATTTCGACGGGTTCATCCAGTGTCTAAGTACCTAGCTCAGATGGAAGAGCAGTCGCCCGGCAAGCAAAAGGTCGTGGGTTCGATTTCCACCTAAGGCAGAAGTTAATTTAACCCTTAAATTGGCACTCATTGAACCCTTGCTTCAAAAATGGTCAAATTTGGGATTTAGGTATTGT